GTCCTTTTTTATTGCTGATTCTTGAAGAAATATTAATTAATGTTTATTTTCTTGTTAGGTTTTGTCCAAAGTGTCAACAAAGAAGGGAAGCCAGTAAAAAAATCCAGATCTGGAAGCTTCCAAGAATTCTTGTGGTCCACCTGAAAAGGTAACTTTGATTATTGCCTGCAGAGAGGGTGGCTTATGTCTTCTTGACCAACCACAAAGCATTGCAAATCAAAACAATGCATTTATGGATTACTTTCAATGCTAAATTTGAAATTTCTCTGTTTTTTATCATTTTCAATTTGCTATTAAATCATTTCTTGATCTATTATATCTTAAATTCTGCCAAGAGAGTATTATAAGAAAGTGTTCATAGTTTGATGGTTTCTGCTACTTCAGTCTGTAATATTTCAAATTAAATTTTGGCTGATGTTGTCATTTGTTTGGTTAATTTTTTTGAAGATTTCAGTATGAAGGAATGTGGCGTCAAAAGCTCCAGACAGGTGTGAAATTCCCCATGACTGAACTGGACATGTCTGCCTTTGTTGTGGGTCCCAAGTCTGCTGCACGTCCTTACAACTTATTTGCAGTATCCAATCATTATGGAACCATGCATGGGGGCCATTACACGGCATTTGCAAAGAATGTTTATGATAAAAAATGGTACAAGTTTGATGACCAATATGTAACTGAGATGTCTCCTCGAGATGTTGTGGTATGTCTTCCTCTTGTTATCTTTTACTGATTTGTTTAAGGTGTTATAAACTGTGCATCATATTAATAACTGAACAACCTTCAACAGCATTCTAAGCTTGATCAATCTTAGTCACATGAGAAGGTCAAGGCATAAAATGACTGAAAGGTTTTTTGTTCTTTTTTGCTACCAACATGTTGCTTGAGATAAGGTGTAAAAAAAAAAAACCCGTTTTAAGGGTGCTCTCTATATGGACAATCAATAAAAACCTACATTTGTGGAAAAAACCTCTAGAGACAATTTGTTCACGGGAATATGATTGCTTCAGTTCTTAAAATCTTAACCCTTCAACTCCCAAGATCTGTTAGTTGATTCTCCCCTCTAGCTGCTACACATATCGTTTTAAATTAGTTATGAGAATTTGGTTTAAGATTAAGATGTCAACTTTTACCTGACAAGTTTGAATATTCTCATTACCTGTTGGTTGGATAATGTAAGGATATTTTGGGGAGAAGTTTCATGTTGATCACTTCTGGGAGTTAAAGGGTTGATGCCTGAATTAAATAAAACACCCTTCTCTCCCACCTCTCTAGTCAGTGTTGCTGTATTTTTGTTACCAAGTTATGTTTACAGAGAAATATGTTACATTGTTGTAGAGAGTGCTGCTGCTCATCATGGTTTTAAAGATAAATGTTTGATCAGTTGCCTGACAATGTAAAATGTCAGGCGAATAAATCATGTATTGATTGCAACATTTCCACAGCCATACAGCTACAACATGGAAACAGGAAACATGGGTGGGAAAATAAACAATACACAAGCATTGATCAAAAATCTTTCCTAAATAATTTTTTTTTCTTAGAACAGTAGGTTGAAACAGTGAAATAGATACAAATTTATATTTTTGCACTCATAAAGATTATAGAAAAAAAAGAAAAAGAGAAACAAACTGCCAAACAATGGCCATAGAGAACTACAAAACGAATTCATGACAAAAATTATCAACTATCTGCAAAAGCAGCCTTGAACCTTTTGGTTGTTTTCAACTTGCACTTTTTATGTTAGTAGGAGCAGTTATATTCTCTAGTTTTAAATCTAAAGTGATTGTTTTTAAATCATATGCCCTTTTGAACTTCATACTAACAAGACTAGTGTATTTCCTTTTCAGACACCAGCTGGTTATCTTCTGTTCTATGCATCATTTGGTTTCCAACCTCCAAATCTCCTCAGTTTCAAATCTTGAAACAAGTCAGTACACTGGACATTTTTTATAGCAATAAATTAGCAAGAGGCATGACTGTTTAGTAGTCTAGTTCAATTTGTTATCACATAAGTAAATTAAAATCGTGTATAAATAACTATGAGTATAAAACATAAGTTTGTTAATATTAATTAGATGTTATAGTTTTAACCAGATGGTGGAGCATTATGCATGCTCTCAAATCTTGAAATTTAAAGGCATTAGCAAAGAAAGCTAACTTTGCAGATCATGTTGATTAATTTTAATTATATGATAAGCTCAGTTATGCACACATTCTGATTGGTTCTCACTTTTTTTCCATATATTTTAATTCTTTATTATATAAAACAAATAGATTCCAAGTTGCCGTGCGTTTGTATAGGTAATCACATGATTTCGAGTGCAATTTGGAATAAATAAGCACGTGTAAATTTTTTTAAAGACTAACAAAATTGCACGAGCCCGTAGGGCGAGTGCAATTTGTGGTCTTTGAAAAAATTAACACGTGCTTGTTTATTCCAAATTGCACGAGAAAAATAATGTGATTACGTGTTAATAATATACATGGAAAAATACGAGATGGCTTCTCATAATTAAACATAAGCAAAGCGCGCACGTCAAGTGCAAAGATAATTTATTCAAACCTCGCGTTCGGTCAAAACAACCGCGTACGATCAAAACAATAATAAATTATGCAATGATATCTTCACATCTTTAAGGTGCAAAAAAGTTCAAAGTCCGGCTAAACAGTTCAAGGAATTGTTCAGTCTGTGTCCGAATCACTTTCGTCGTTTCCGAGGTTTAACCATGTTTGTTTTTTAATTTCGGCGTGTGATCGCTCCAGCAAAGTGTAAAGCTGGGTCGGCTCGTGTAATTTTCGATTTCCTCGGCAATTCCCTTCTCTAAACACCACTTTTTCCAAACCGACAACCAAAAAGCAGTGCTTTTTACAGTGTTTTCGTTGTTTAAGCTGTTTTTCAGCTGCGGTGGCGAAAGAAAGCCTACTTATTAAAACACCGGCCATTGTTTCGCTCGCAAATTTTCAAATTTTGTTGCGACATCCAAGGCTCGCACTTGATTGGCTATCTCTGAGTTTCTTTGATTATTGACCAATCAGAATGTCTGATTTGTTTCTTTCTTTGCACTGAATTAACCCTCTTCTGCACTGAATGAACTCTCTACTGCACTGAATTACCTGAAAACTGCATTTATCTTAACCAATCAGAACTAAGTAATTTTTCCATGTATATTATTAGTTCAGTAATAGATCACAGAGGACGTCAAAATGTGGTAAGAACATCAGTGACACACTCGGCTGTACCTCGTGTGCCACTTTTTTGTTCTTACCACATTTTGACATCATCTGTGATCTATTACTGAACAGACACACAGCAACTTGGAATCTATTTGTTAAATTTACCCACTACTGCCTACAGTATTGTGTATAAAAAGCTATATTAACCCCAAACAAAAACTTTCTAGTTATTAATTTTCATTTTTCCTTGTTTTCCTAAATATAATTTTTGCAGTACTGAAAGACTGCCTTTTTACCATTATTTTTTTATATTTCATGTAGACATATAATGCAGAGGTTAGTAGGTTAGATCTAACATTAGTTTTATCCAGCATAGTTAACTAGGGAGAAGATACGAGTGCCAAGCAAAGTAAAGGTTAGCCATCAATTTTTGATGTTTCTTGAGTTGGGGGATGATGCGCTGAAGGTAAACTACAGGCTGAACTTGTCCCCCAATGGATGCTTAAGTGCTTGCTTCTTCTTGTTTGCCTGATCAGTCCTATGGGTCTTCGATTTAAGGACCTTAGATAAATTTTTTCATGGGATAAATCAGTGAATCCCCATTACCTTAGGGTTTGTGTTTGGGTAAATCTCTGATGTATTTGGTGTAAGCAAGGCAGCTGTACAGGTTTCTGTTTTCTCCAAATAGTTTTGATTATCATTGATGATTATGGAAGTAACATGTAAGGATGATGGAATTAAAGGTACTTGTACATGAGGAATTGATTTGGTGTTTTCATCCCACAAGATAGTTATTAAGTTGGGATTCACTTGTAGTGGTAGTCAGATACCTTTTTGGGGTCTTAAAGATATTTCAGCAGAGTGGTCTAAAAGGGTGGCAAATCATGTCAAGTTGATAGTAACATTCTCTAAACCTTATTTTAATACTTCACAAAAATAGGAGCAATAATATTCCTATTGTTGTAGTAACATGAACCAAGAGCCACAAAAACATTTATAACTTCCCCTGACAATAATCTATTCTCCTAGGAATTCATTAGAAATGAAATGGATGCTGCATATCACTTGCATAAATATTAGATTTACAGTTCATAATAAAATGTGTCAAGTACACCCTAAAAAATTCATGGAAATGAGCTGAAGACTTTAAGCCAGTTTCACTTCTTAATGATTGTGGGAGCAATCATTTCCCTGTTGCTATAGTAGCGGCAATCTGGTGCCACATCAACCTCTATGACTTCAGTTGATATGTGTTCTCTAAGGAACCCACATGTGAGTAACTCTGGAACTTGTGTCTCCTCAAACATCTTTTCGATATCATTGTATTTTGTCTTTAACAATTCACCCCATGAAGTCAGGTTGCAGTATGTCAGAACTCCACCTGGCTTCAGAAGTCTGAAGGCATGGTCTTTGATAAAATTAAACTGATGTGTGTGCCATGTTTCTTCTGACAAGGGGTATGTATCATACATAATGCCATCAAATGAACCATTGGGTAAGGCAGGAACAACATCTTCCCACAAGCCTATAAACAGCATCATTAATTTTAGTACAAAAATAAACATTTGGTAGACCCCACTAACTCAAATAGCAAGAAAAAGATGAAAAATGGTTTGAGTCAGTGGAAGTCAGGAGGGGAAGGGGCAGCTTGAGTTATTGGAGAAGTTTTGAACTCAAATTATCTCATTAACTTTGGTAAGGAATGATATTTTTGCTTCTCTTACCCCTTACAAAATCTGAATCAACAGTGGTTTTGGGAAACTTAGTCTGTTTTATAGGAGCTTATTGATAACAACATTAGTTTGGAAAGTTAAGTCAAATGTCTAATAAATGGAACCTGTAAAATTGGCTATTTTCTGACACTTAGATGTTCATCGACTGACGTTTTCATTTAAAGTACAAGTTACGATGTTAAATTTGAGCTAAGGGAATGTAAAATTAGTTGTTGTCAACAGGGACTTCGAGTTAACCGGGTTCGAGTTTGCTGATAGAAATGGGGTCAAATTCAAGGAAAATCGGATCTTGCTCGAGTCAACCAGTTTCGAGTCAGCAGTAGGGTTCTAATGTACAAAATACACGAAGTACAAAGTGTCTGCAATTCAACCTCTCCTTTCATTAAAAAAAGAAAAAAAATTGAGTGAAATGGATGAGTAAGTTTACACCTGATTGCAGCGCTGTGAGGCATGTAGCCAGCAACCACATACGCCATTAACGAGAGGTTTACGTTTTTCTGGTCCTCTGCGTTTGTAGGCTCAATATGCATTGAGAGTTTTGGAAATGTTTTGGAAAAACATTGTAAGTTCCTTAGAGCTCGTCTTGGTAAAATTTCCGCACAGCCCCATACTTCATTATACATTCAGTTCTTGAATAGAGAAAACATTGCCATTGGGAAAACAGATTTGTTTTACAATAGTATGGGGCTGTGCGGAAATTACTTTAAATAATTGTTTACTTTCTTCTTACAGGGCACGATGTAGCACCATTTCAAAAATTTAGGTGTATTTTACATTCAAAATTTCATCCCACAACAATGCCTGCAACTTGGAATGAATTCTTAGATCTGCATGACATCATACCGTACTAAATAACTTGCCTTTCAACGCAGTTACTTTCCTTTCAGCTACTTGGGCAAATTTCTCCAGCCGTTTAAAGACGTTATCATTGCATTCAACGATAACATGCTCGTCTATGGGAAAAGTCTGGATTTTCGTCGCTGAAATCGCCATTCCAAAGCCGAGCTCAAGTACCCGTCCACCTTTCGACGCAGCTATTGAAGCCAGTTTATGCATGTAAGGGGTTTCCCATCTTTCCATGACAGGTTTCCCCATGATTTCCAAATGCTCGTCTGCTTCATCATAATCTGCTGCAGCATCTCCCCACGATGGTTTACAGTTTTCACCCACACCGAAAATTTGAGCTGCGGCCATTTCTCCCGCATGTGTTAGATCTCGCGCTGGGTCGCGCGTGGCTAGAAAGAGGAAAGGTTAATCTAGATCTTGGGATCGTTTTGGCTCCTTGTCAGCGGTCTGGTCGCTGACCTAACAAGGAGCTAAAATGGGCGGCCGTCACCGCAAAAAATACAGGCATAATAGATGGATTGTAATAAACAGAAATGGTCTAATGGTCTTTTGGAGAACGGTTTATCTTATCTCAAGAGATTTATTTAAAGTACAAATGGACTAGTCGCCTTTAGTGAATTGAAATATTCAAACAAAAAATGGTTTATACTGTGAAGCCACCTTTGTTGAACTGATTCAATAAAAACACGATTGGCCAAGTGTTAACTGAAATGGGTCAGTGTCAAAATGACAAACGGTTCAGCTGACTGTACTTTGGTTCAGTGACTTGACACAAACGGTTCAGAGTCGAGTGAAATGGCTTAAGTTATCGGCAAATGGTTAATCGTAAGCCGCAAAGGCTTAGCATTGTATCAATCTACTCACCGTAAAATGAAATGGTTTAGCGTGACCACAAAAGATTTAGTACAAACCGAAATGGTTTAGTGTTACAGCAGTTGGTTTACGCCGCCGAAAATACGAAAGTAAAGTGGACACGTCAAGCTTGAAATGAAACAGTCCATGTGGCGTCTTACGTCATAACCCTATAGTTTTTGCCCCCGCAGGGTTTTTGGCCCCAGAGGGCCAAAAACCCGAGGAGGCACCTTAGGACTCCCCGCGTAATATAGAGGAAGACTGGAGAAGAGGGAATGTGGGTATTTTCGGTAGATCATACACCCGATTCATAAATGGCCGCCACGCGGAACGGTCTGGAACCTAGCGCATGAAATCGAG